CAAAAACCCAAACCAACAAGAAGGAAATATCTCACTTCCAAAAGAACATACTAGCTTCTTTCTAATGACTAAAGTAGATAAAATGATATAACTGTTGGAAACCAAATTCAGGAAATTGAATATACCAAAATACAATGAGATGCAATACAATTTCAGGAGATGAGAAAACCAATGAATGACATGACAAACCTCCAGAGAGATAACTAGCTTTAAAAAGAATAAAAAAGAGGGGCAGAAGGTGGCATGCAGGTTAAGGTGCTGGATCTCACATGGCCAACACTGCAGTTCAAATCCTGGACCCCAAAGCTTCAAAATTACACGTTTGTGTACGCTCAAAATTCTGTACAGAGACTAGGGAAGGAATTGACTAATGAGACAGCTGATAAAGGTCACAATATGTAGCCTTAGAAGTTTACACATTTAAATCAAATCCCCTAGCAACACATATGGGGACCTCAGTTGGGTCTGAGAAATAATTTACAACATCAGTTTTGGTTCACAGGTTATATACTAAGGCTAGTATTTATCTGTTACAAGGTTTACATGATAGGGTAGCCAAACTAGAGTGGTTAGAGGATGGTACTGGAGTCTGTTGCATTATCTTCTGTGGGGGTAGAGATGGAGGTTAAAGAGTAGAGTTCATGATGTGGAAGATTATACAGAAGGGCATGAAGAGGTGCCAGAGATGTAGTGGAAAAGTGGATTCTGGTAACTTTTTATTTACCTCCTGAGAAAAAGGTGGTTCTACAATATCTGAGGCAGCTTCTAGATATCATTGAAAGTAACTTTCCCATTCAATTTGCCTGATTCTATAACCAGTTCTTCCCAATTATGCATATGAATATGCCATTTAGAAATTTCAAAGAATTCCCATTTTTACCAATGAAGACTGGGGACACTGCAACTTTTGTGGGCCCATTTTCCTAAGTACTTGAAAGGTAGGACAACAAAGGCCTCACACACAAAACCAGGTGAGGTTTCCAAGAGAGTTGTCCCTTACAGGAAACTGCTTATGATGAGTCATTTCTCACAACTTAAAAGCTTTTGCAAAAGTGACAAAAATTCAGAAGTCTATCGAGTCAAAGTATACTGACCATGGTTATTCCTCAAGGTTTTAACCTTGAGTATATTCAATCCTTTTAGTGTCTAAAAATTCTAGACACTAGGTGGCAGTAGAATGCTCAGCCTACCAAGTGATAGGTCTCGAGAATTTTTGCTGGCTGAGCAAAAAATTTTCTAAAATATTCTAATGAGTTTCTTTAAGATTGCTTAATATCATGAAAGAAATCTCTCAGGCAATCCTAAATGGTTTTTAGTTTCTGAAGGACACTTTTCAGGAGAGGAAGAGCAACTGACTTCACTTTTAAGTGAAGATACCACATTAGGGATCTTTAAAATGTCAAAACTAAGAGTTTTGTTTATAATTAAAATATGCTGAAGTTTTTTCTAAGGCACATGCTATGCCTCTAATCCAGTGAAAATGATGCACCAGTGAAGCATGATTTGGTCTCTTGGGAGAGGTGGACAAGATCACAAAATACGTTGGGATAAAATTTGTTCTGGCAACAACTTGACATATTCTTTTTTAATAATTATTTATTTAATTTTATTTATCCATTCATTTATTTTAAAGTGACAGAGAGAGATACACAGAGAGAAGAGAGGGAAAGCAAGCCACCAGGTCTGGTATTCAAACTGTGGTTGGTCACGTGGGAGTGTGTCCAGCGCCTTAACCACCACGCCACCTGCTGGTCCCCTGCCATATCATTCTTATCATGGGCCTTTCATAGAAACTTTAAAAGTCTTTTCAAAAGTGAACAAATTTAGGAGATGGGAAGTCTATCAGGTCAATGTGTACCCTGAGAAGATGGTGGGCATGAAGATGAGGAAATGTCAGGACAATAGTCATTGTCTGAGGCGCATGCTCTCTTTCTAGGAACACTCAATTTATTCTGGGAACATTCTGCTAATACTAAAACATCAGTATTTCCTTCTACTTTATCACAAGTGGGCCATAATTATTCAGGTCTTAACCTGTTACTGGAATAACATTGATCATTGTTTTGTCACTAAATGTATAACTTCAACAAGCACCATAGATTATATGTTTATATACTGGTGTTTTTAGTATTAGTAAATTTATTTTCATAAAATATATACTGCATAAAATTTATAATCTTTCCTCTTAAGGTTCTAGGACCATAACCACCATCCATCTTCATGAATTCTTCCATCTTGTAAGACTAAACAATTTATAACTATTATTATACAACGTCAAATCTTTTCATTCCTCCCACCTGACCCAGACTCTGGCAACCCATCATTATTTTTGTTTTTATTATTACTACTCTGAATATTCTATGACTGTTTTTACTGTGAAAAACAGTCCAAAAAAGTTTGAAATCTATTTAAAGAAATTGATTCAAAGACATTGGTTAAAGTGGGGTGAGAAAAGCTTTATTTTGGATCATCGTCGTAAGCTTATGGTACCTAGAAATGGGAATTTCAGTGGCGAAGAGAAATTGGGCTGAATTTCAAATACAGCATGGGCAGTGGAAATAACAACTGAGGAACTGTGTGGTGATTATCAGATGAAAAATAACTAAAGAAACATTAGGAATATGAGAGATTCTGGATAAACTGAAATAATAGGATTCTTACTGAGGACACAGGTTGATCAGACATCACACAGAGGGTAGTGGACCATAAGAAACCTAATCACTTATTTAAAATGATCTGATATTTAGTGTGGGGCTTCTTGCTAAACTACTTTAGGTGGGTTATTTGCTCAAAAGGGATTTTACAAGGAAGTATGCAGAGGAAACTAAAAGATTGAGAGGCCTGACTAAAGTATGATAGAGGCAAAACTTTGACACATTTTAAACATATCAAAGAATATGTAATTTAGTACTTTTCAATATGTTGATATTACTGTGCAACCACTCCAGTTAGTTTTACAAGATGGAGAGTCATACAGATAGCAGTAATGTTTGCTAGGCAATGTGAGTGCACACAGTAAGTCTGGTCATATCACTTTTCACGTTGTCGCTCATAGTGACGTCCACCAGCCTGTTCCTATCACGACTGAGCAGCTACCTTACATCTCACTCACCATAATTTGGTCTGTTCTACCTGGGTCATGATGTTGGGCCAACCAAAACCAAAACCAGCCCAATACCAATTCACCTTGGTTTGCATTTCTGGACCAGTGGGTGTTCTGGCTCAGAATCTCTTCACTAACGCTGGCCACAAAAGCTGTGATCAACACTCAAAGAGGATCTTGGAAATTTTATAACCACCTAGGACTATGCTGTGCCTCAACACACCCAGAACTCTCGAATGCCTCCTGTCCAACTTAGATCAGTTTCATTCTCAAAGTAAACTTGGACATTTTACCAGAGGAACATTTACAGAGCCCTCTCAGTACATATGAGTAGATCCCAGGTTCTAAAATGCCTTAGAATATTGTTTAAGGCATTTATGGTACATTTTATTTAATTTCAATTTATTATATACATTTAATTTATACATCCCTTAGCTTGTAAGTTGAATTTATCCAAAATGAATATACTTCTCACCAGAGCAGTTGAGGATACAAAACACATGATCATCAACATATTATAATCAATTTCTATATCCCAAAAATGCCTGCCCATTTTTCTCCATAACTTCTTTCCTTACACTATCCCCTTTCTCCCATCTTCTTCTCACATTGTCTCTAGTACCTATAACCATTTTCAATGTTTATATGGCCTTTAATCTGAGTTTCCATTATGCTTTGAAAAACTTTTTTCTGTTTGATTGCCAGCCATGAAAGTGGAAGCTAGAAAACTTTCTATATTTATTTTTATTTTTGCCAAAATCAGTGGTTATAGTCTCTTGCATCTTTAAAGATCAAACATGAATCACAGAAATAAACTTTTGCTAGGGCCAGCAGATGTTGTAATAGTTATGCCACTGACTTCCCATATATTTGAATGCAGGTCAAGTCCCAGAGCCACAAACTTAAAACTCAAGCCAGTGTGTGTACATGAGTGCCCAAGATCCTGAGAGAAGAATGGTGAAGAAGGGATGGATTCATGCTTTCTGTCTCTGTCTTTTCAGAGAGCACATATGCCCTATAGCAAAAATCACTCAAAAAAAAAAAAAAAAAAAA